AATTTTAATTTCCCCCAAAAACCAAAAAATTTTAATATCCGGAAAATTTTTTTTATTTTTTTTTTTTCGAATATTTTTTTTTTTTTTTTTTTGAAATGATGGTGATGCATGGGGTTCTAATCATCATCATCATCATTATTTGTTGGCCACATTATTATCCAAGCCAAAATATATGCCGGCTATAAATTGATGATAGGCATTATCTCATTATAAATACGAATAATTAATTGATGTAGCATTATATTCAATTAATTATTTATCTATTATCATCTACTAATATATTTGATGATAATAATGATGATGCTATATGAAAAAATGTGGTTTAAGTGTAAAATAATGAAAAAAAAATAATATTCAAATAGCTGTTGCACCAATGTTTTACCATGAACATAGAAAAAAATACGAAACAAAAGCAAAGCGATTATATACATTTTTTCATCATGCCTATATGTAAATCTTATCATCATGAAACAAAAAACAAAATCAAGATATTCGATACCACTTAAAAAAGATATATTAATGGTAATTAATTCCTTGAAAAAAAAAAAATAATTCAAACATTGATTCATTTGATGTATGAATGCAATTTTGGATGAACAGAAAAAAAAAGAAAGAAAAGATGCCTAAAATGAAGATCATATTCACATCTTTTTCAAAATATTTGTTAATAAATTGAAAATATTCTACTTTTTTTACTCTCTTTTCTTAAAATGCTTATTATTCGTTATAGAATCGTTTTTTCATCATCACATTATCCGTTTATTTTTATTTAGCAAAATATATTAGTTGTTAATTCATTAATGAGTTAATGGACAACCGCTAAACATACATAATGATAAAATGAATGTAAGTAAATATACAATTGCAAAAATATCATATTTTTTCGGGAATAGCTAAAAAATAATTCAACGATCCTATCAAACAACAATAACAAAAAAAAACTTACCATATGGTGTCCGATTATTATCGATTGTGGCGTTGGTGTTGATGTTTGTTATTACCGATCCACCTACTCCTTTTTGTGATGATGATTGTTGTTGTAAATGGCCAATATCACAGTTAGGATTAAATGAATGATGAACATTTTTTGATTGCATTATAATTTCAGATGAATTGTTCTGTAGATTATTATCATTATTATTAGATGAAGCTATTGTTGTCGTCATCAGATGATTATTTGTATTCGAATTTATTGTTGATAATAATGGTTCTTCACTCGAACAACTTTTCATTTTATTCATCGAATTAGTTTATGAAGATAAATTTGAATGCCGAATATTCAAGAATACAAAGAAAAAAATACAACAAATTATTCTCATTTATATATAAATAGGACAAAATGATAGAATCAACAAATTGCACAATTGAAAAAAAAACAAACAAACAAAATCAATGGTGTGTAATAAAAAAAAAAATAGAAAACTAAAACTAAAAAAAAAGTTTTAACATTAATTAAATATAAACATTTGGTAATTATTGCTTATTCAATCAATTGTATCAATGTTTCTGTCGGTTAAATTCTTCAATTCTTGAATAGCCAAAATATTTCGGTCAACCATGATGATTCGGTTCAAAAAGATGGCCAAACACTATTGTTTGGATTAAATTAGAATACGATTCCCCCAACCGATAGAGAAGATACGATAGAAAACGATTAATTTTTCTACCCAGCAGCCACTTTCTCATCGAGAATAATTGAAAAAAATACTATTACGATTTCATTCATTAATTTTATTCATATTGTTACAATTGATTTGATTCAATTTATTTCAGCCATTTATTCATTGAATTTCAAATGAAAAAACAATCAATGCCATCATCATCATCATCATCGTCGTCATCATCATCATCATCATCATAATCATTATCGTATCGAAGAAGAAGAAAAAAATCATTATCTCAACTGAAATTATATTCAACATCACAGATGCCAATTTGGCGCCAGATTCACGCCAGGAAAGCTTTCCAATCAAAGAGACCGAGAGGCAGATACAGAAGAATAAAAAAAACAACAATAAACTGTAAATACAAACTAAATATATTTTTTCCCCTTTGACATTCCAGAAAAAAATCGGCTTAATAATGAAAAGGCAAGAGTGAAGAACTCAATATATTTGATGAATCTGATTCATTGGTAGAAAAAAAAACTTAACAAAAATTCTGAATATGAAGCCTTTTTAAACTTTTTTTTATAGATTTTTGAAGAGCCTAATGATTGAGATTTAAAATTAAGGAAAAAAGTAATGAATTTTTCAAGAAATCGGAAAATCAAGAACCTTTCTAATCATATGATGAATTTTTCATTTATTTTTTCTTTTCATCTCGAAAAAATTCAAAATCCTTATTAATTTTTTTTCCAGTAACTTTGGACACTGAATTTAATCATTTTATTTTTGGTGAATTTGTGGTGAAATCAAAACAATGATGATAATCGAATCGATTAATAAAAATAATAAAATGTCAACATCAGAAACATTGTTCAGATTGATACAAAGTAATTATTAGAATATGGATATAAGAACAAAAAAGAATTTCGGATTATTTTCAATCATTTTTTTTCTCGCCGGTTTGGGAAAATATATTACAATGAAAGATTAAAGAAAAAATTTGATCGATCTATCGAAATGTGAAGCCATCAAATAAATCATCTTGATCAATTTCAAAAATAAATTGAGAAAATTGTTTTCATTGAGAAAAAAAATTACTAAAAGAAAAAATCCATTTCATAAACATAACTCTGAATTTCGCTGAATTTTAATTGATCATTCATGATGAAAGGCTATTTAATGTTTTTCTCTTCAAGATTCTTATTATTATTTTTCGGATGATGTTTATGTTATAAGCGAAAACAACAATGATTCTTCAAAGCCAAAAAAAAATTTATCGACAACAACAAAAATACGATAGCACTGAATAAAAGAGAGAGAGAGATAGGAATTTGTTTTTCTCTTACCCCCTCCCATACACGCACATTCATTTATTGCATTAACAAATATAATTTAACTATTGTCAACGACAGTAACATCAATAATAATAATAATCAAAACCGAATTGAGCGATGATTCCGTATGGTTAAGGAGAAAACAAGATATGAATGAATGTGTATAAAAGAAAAAATGTATATCTACTTTACTATAGAATCTATTAAGAATAAGAAAAAAAAATTGGAAAGAAAACAAAAAAGAAAAATTCTGTTCGCTTTTCATGGACTTATGAGCAATTATAAATGCAATCGATTGTGAACCCATTCTTCTTACATCACTTGCATGAACAAACGAACGAATCAACCATCCAACCAACCAACCAACCAATCAACCAACCGACCAAAATAACTATGATGATGATGATGATGACTGGCTATGTATATGTTGTTCGGCCAAATACACATCGAAATTACATCAAAACATTTTTTCTTCTTCTTTTTAAGAACCGAAAAAGAAAAAAAAACAAAAGACAATTGCAATGGACTATAGCGAAAAAAGGGGACATACCGATCAAATGGCAATATATTCCGTATACATCCACCCACACACTAACATCCACAAAGTGACGAAAAAAATAAAACAAGGTTCTTCATATAATGATGGGAAAAAAGTGAACTCAAAAATATCAAGCCAAAAAACAAAACAAAAAACATACAGAATCTAGAATTCAACACTAACATTTTCTTCAATCATTCAATTATTTCCAGATGTTGAATAACGTTATTTTTTCCACTGCCATATCCACACACACACACACACATGTATGAATCCATCCATCCATCTCTATTCTCAAAGAAATTCATCTATCCATCATTCTAAAATCAAAATCAAATTCAACAACAAAATGAAAATATTAGTAACAATCAACTAATTTTCAAATTCTTTTTCAACATCCATGGTGGATGCGGAAAAACTGAAAAATTATTTTTGTTGTTGTTTTTGTTTTCATTGAACCAAAAAAAATGAAAATTTATTTGAAAAATTTCTCAGACGACATTATTATCATAATTTGAAATGGCAAAAAAAATAATAATAATGATTCAATTGGAACATTTCCATTTTAATTTTATGTTTTGAAATTTCATGATTATATGCAATAATGCTTGATGATAGTAATGATAATGATAAAAGTAAGAAAATATTTTATGAGAATTTTAACAATTTTTCTTTATTTCTATTGAAGATGTAGATAGAAGAATTCAAAAGCAACCAGAAGAAAAAAACTCTTCCAATGTCGACCACAATGCAAAAAAAAGAAAGAAACCAAGAATAATGGAAATGAATCGATAAAAGTGCCTTATTATTATCATCATCATCCAAATAAAAGAATTTGAAAGAACAAATACAGTATGAAAGGGAAAAAATCCATCCAACTTGATTCGAATAACATAAAATATGCTGCTGAAACAATCTTTTGTGCATTTTTTTTTCTCTTTCTCTATTAAACCGCTACCAATATAGACGAAAAAAAAGAAATAAATGCAATGTAAAGATTTGGCATCGAATTTCAAAAGTTTTTTGAGGATGTGGAAAAAATTGAGGAGAAAAACTTTTACTTTTATTGAGTTTGTGATTTTTTTCTTTTGCAAACCAAAATATTTTTTGTCTACCATTCCCTTTTTTATTCGTATTTTTTTTTGTTGTCTAATTCATCCAACCAAGTTGAAAAGGAATCGGAAAGTAAAATTGATTCTTGATTGTTTGATGAATTTTGAATGAATACATTCTTTGAATCATATATAATATGTTTCAAAATGAAAACAAAATCATTGATTTAAATTTTATTTACTTACATTGGATAATGTAATGGCATTTGATGGCATTGATCTTGGATATTCGTATCGATCATATCATTATTACCAACAAGGCAAACTTTTTCATGTTCATTTAGATTGCCTAAATCGATGTCTTTATCAACATCAACATCAACATCATTATGATTAGCTGTATCAGCAATCGAATCATTTGCTGAAATATTGCCAAACTGTTTTTGATTATCTGTTATTATTTGGAAAAAAAATATTGAAAAAAAAGGTTAAATATTCATTTAGATAATAAAAGTCATTTTATTTGGTTCAAAGGTTTCTAAGGATATGTTCTTTCATACAAATTTGTAAAAAAAATGTTAATAATTCTATTTTATTCTGGTAGGTATTGCAAAAGCAATTCAAAACATATCTTGTCGTTTTGTTGTTGTTGTTGTTGTTGCTATTTGCATTGGTGCCAAATGATAAAATCATTAACTACATATGACATATATTTTTTGACATGATTCAAGCGTATTTTTTTCTAGTTCTATTGCTTCATTTCATTATTGAAAACAGAATAAAATTTTTATACATAGAACAATACAGATTCTATGAAATTTATGCGAATCGATCATCACTCAGTAAAGCAGAAGTTTTTTTTCTGTAACATTTGTGAATTTTGCATTTCACAAATATTCAATTTCCAAAAACGAAAAAAAAAAATATTGTAATGTTTTTGTTTGTTGGATATCGATTTTCTTCATAATAATAATAATAATCATTATTATTATTATCCTATAGTAGCATGAAACAATAATAGTATGAGTCCGGATAACATTCACTGTCTGTGTAAAAATATTTCGCTTGAATCTTATAAATATTTTATATGGTAAATACGTTTCGATGAATTTGAATCCGAACAACAACAACAAAAATACAATCGGAATTATCGATCATCAAGAAAATAAATATAAACCTATGTTGATGGGAAGAATGAAAGAGAATCAGATCAACAAATATTATTATCATTATGCATATGAAACGAATGGGAATTTCTTTTCCTTTTTCTCTTTTACTCAATCTATTCAAATATTCTGTGAATATTTGTTTATTTTATTATATGCATATTATCGAATCAAAACACGAATGATTTTAGCATGTACCAAGAATAATAGAGAAAATAGGCATCAATACAGCAATAATCGTAAAGAAAAGAAAAGAAAAGTTTTTCACATCCATACCATTGTTTTTGTTGTTGTTGTTTTTATATTGTTTTTGTTGGTTTTTTGATGGTGATTTCTTTCGAAATAATATAATATTGTTCTTTGATTCTTTTGATTCATGTGGTAATTTTGATGATGATGATGATGATGTTTGTTGATGTTTGATTCGTTTCAATTTTAGATCACCATTTGATGTAATTATTGGTGATGTTGTTGTTGAGCCAATGGTCAATAATGCATCATTTGCAGATTGATCGATTGATCTATCCATATTATTATCATCATCATCATCATCATCATTAGCTATCATCATTGTTGAATTTGTTCCATTTAATGATCGACGTGTACAGGCTGTTGTTGTTGTTGTTGATTGTAATGATGACTGTTGTTGTTGTTGTTGTTTATTTCGTCGTTTACGATGATTATTATCGTTATGATTATTATTATGGCCATTATTATCACGGCAGTTATTGATACCGGTATCACGCGATCCATCCGAATTATTATTATTACTGCCAATACGGCTACGTATAAGTATTATTAATATAATCACAGCTATGACAATTGTTGCAACGATTCCGATTAGAATGCCTAAAATTGGATGAACAACGATCTGTTCAAAGCTCCCTATAAATTTTGCATGATATTAATGATAGAGGCCACAGCAATATTATGGGAAGAAAAAAAACAAGACAAGAAAAGTGAATTAGACTAATCATTTGTTTATGTAAACAATAATAATAATATTATTGTTATATAAACGTTGTTCATACATCTATATGTGGTTCATCGATTGGAATAATCAATGATCCAAACTGTTTTTATTATTATTGTTTGATTTGATTCAAAACAAAACAAAACAAAAAGCATCAAAGAATTCTAACGATCATAATCATTAGAATAGATCGAAAAGAAAGAAACAAAAATACTGTAATGGTAAACTATAATTTTGTGTAAGTATGTGGTGTGTGCGTGTGAGTATTTTTTCAGTTATACATTTGAAAACAATCACGTACCACGGGCAGTATGTTTTTCGGGTGCAGATAACGTGACCGCCGACAATGAAACCGAATGTGAACGTCCTTTAGCATTAGTTGCATATAATACCAACGTATAGGGTGTACCCGGTGTTAACGAACTAACAATAAAATTTGGTTGCGATGAACTATGATTTGAATGTAATCGTTGTGGATGTTGTAATAATGAATTACTATTAATCGAATTGGTTTTGGTGGCTGTTGTTGTTGCAATACTAGCCGATTGTACAGCTAATGTTTGATCCACAATTTGATTATTAGCATTGATAGTATTGATACTATTACCAATGTTAGATGATGATGATGATGATCCAATATAAACTTCTAGATTAAAATGTTGTTTTAGGCCACCATCATCACCCGGTATACATTCGACTAGTAATGTACTCATGGAATGATTTGTTATAGCACAACCACGAACAGCATCCGGACGACCTATTTTGTTTAGTGAAAAAAAAAACATTAAAAAAATAGCAAAAACAATGAATGATAATCGAAATGTATGATCAAAAAAGAAAAAATAGGCTTTGAATTTAGAATCAATTTGATTATATAAATGGATGAATAGGTTGCAGAGAAGAAGAAGAAGAAAAAACTTGAAAAATCGATTTTCTTTCTCTGATTACGTTAGCAGCATTCATGCCCTCCAAAAAAAATAAATAAATATTCGATCGAAAATCATGTTCGTCATTCAATCAATGCCTATTGACAATCTATCTATCAATAACATATGTCCAATGTATATTCGATTTCAATCACAATGAAATTCCTTATGACATTGAAGCTATCGATTAATTGTCTTTTTTTTCAATTTAATTAAATCCTTTATCGAAAAAAAAACAACAACAAACACATCATTTCCATTCGAAAAGATCCTTTATTTTCCGTACCGATGATTTTATTTATTTATTTTAAAACTTTAGTTTAACAAGATTTGATAATTGAAGAATTTTATTTCGCCTCATTCATTTTATGGTGAACAATATAAGAAAATGTCAATTCATTAATTTTTTTTTGTTGAGTAATAATTGTTGGAAAAGAAAGAGGAAATAACAATCCAACAAATTTCAATTATAATCAATGAACAAAGAGACGCAGATATTATTATATGAATTGAACAACAGCTAAACTATAATTTTTTATTAATGTCTATATTCGAATGATAATAATTGATAGGAAAAGAAGAAAAAAAAATAAAAAAAAAACCGATTTAATTTTCAACAACAATGAAACTACACGAAAAAAAAAGAATTGACAAGAAAAAAAAAATCAAATGTAATGAATAATGCTAATTAACATTTTTTTTTCTTCTTCTCGCTCATTCACTCACTCACGGAGAGCGATATTTTCATTTATTCTTACATCGATTTCGTAGATTTTTTTCCCATTTAGTGATTCAATAATATAACTAATACTAACTAGGCGTAAACGTAAAGATATGATTGAAAAAATAAGTAGATTGAGTTTTTTTCTGGGCGATGATGATGATAAAACGATAAGTTTTTTAACACTTATTCGAACACATGATCATCATCCTCAACATCATCATCAAATTATCCATTTTTGTATTGAGAATCGAAAATAGAAGAGAAAAAAAACGAAGCGAAATAAGAATTTTATTCATTACATTCATGTATGGCTTGTTTTGTTGTTGTTGTTGTTGTAATACAGAATGAAAGATTAGTCAATTCATGCGTAGATTCTAATTAAATATCGTCATTATTATTATCATCATTGTAATCACCATCGTCATCACCAGTAAAGATTTTTTTCCGCCTGTTTTTTTTATCACAATCATTGCTGTAGAAAAAAAAAGATTGTATTGAAAAAAGACAAACAAAAAGATCATTCGAATCTTTGAGACCAGTGATTATGATGGAAAGCGAGAGTGAGAGAGCAAAAAATGGGACCGATTCATTCACTAAAGAATCGTAATAAGATTCATGTGTGTGTGTGTGAGAGAGAGAGCAATTCCATTCCCTATTCACATTCAACATAGCGTGTGGAAAATGAAAACGAGAAAAAAATATTTATAATTCTCGTTGCAAGAAAAAAATGAAACTCAGATTCATCTCAATTCACACAGCAATGATAGTCATGATTATTATGGTTTGAAAATATTAAAAAAAAAATTCGGATCAAAATTTATCGATTGATAATTCATTCATTCTGAAAAAAATGAATGAATGAAAAATATCATGAATCATATCGTCACCAAATGAGAATGATCAAAAAAAAAGTGTAAAGCAAAGAGGAAAAAAAAAATAATTCAATGAACCCTGTACTGAACAAAAGAGGAAATATGAAGAGAATAAAAAAATCGATTTTCTTCACCGAATTCTTCCATCATCCTCTTCATCCAAAACTAACACCAGAAATTTCTCTTTGAATAAGTATGATTCGACCCACCAACAAATCGAAACTGATAAAAAAAAGTTAAAAAAAATGGAAAATCTCGCACATCTTATTTGATTCTTTATCAAGATATATATAGAATCAAATGTGAGAATATTTTTGGATTGTTGAAACGAATAAAAAAAAATAGCCAAGCGAAAAACGCATTCAAAATACAAAAAAAAAAATTATCATTTTGTTTCTATCATTATTTCCTTTCATCCGTTTAGGATCCGATGATGATTCACTATGAGTTTTTTTTGCAAATATAGAAGAAAAAAAAATCGATTAAATTATTTTTCTCGCCTCACAAATTAATGATAAAAATCAAGATTTTGTTTCTCCTTATCAAATTGATGATGATTTTTTTCAGAATCCATTTTTCTTTTCGTTATTCATAGAAGAAAAAAAAAACAATAAAAATTTTCAATGATCATAATTAGCTGATTTATAATGAACATCCTTTTTTTCATTTTAAATTTTATTTTTCACTCTAATGAAATAGCCAAAATTCATAATGAATTTTTTATATCCGATTTTGTTAAAAAAAATGTAATTTGCCATTGAAATAATTGATCGAAGATTTATTCGATTTTTTCATATAATGATCGATCTACGAATGTTATAAATATTCAATGAGTTTCAAGATTACTTATTTCAGTATTGTTGTTGTTGTTGTTGTTATTGTTATCATGAAAATTTTAAAATTTCAATTGTCAAAACCAAGAATATTTTCATCCGTTATTGTTGTCAATAGCATCATCATCAACAACAACAATAAAAAAATCATATTCTCTCTTTATGTTGGCGCAAATAAGTTGTTGGCAATAATATTTTTAAAAATTTTCATATGGCAAAAAAATCAAACACACACACAGACAAACAAGCGATCAATTGAGAGTCGAGTCAAAAACAGTCAATATTTAAAACGGAAAAAGTTTGTTTGTGTGTGTATAATGTGACGAAGAAAAAAAATTCAAACTGTATAAAGTTAAAGAAATGTATTTGATTCTATATTCTTTCGCGATGATGAAAAATGATTAATTTCAGTTTCAGTTTTTCATATATACTAACACAGGATGTGTGTGTGTGTGTGATTGTGATGTAAGACATTTGCGAGAGCAAAAAAAACATATATCCTGTATAGTGAAAATCACATATACACTACTCTATCAATATCCGGTTTGATCATGGCCACAAACATACATACAGTACACACACATAAGCAGAATATGATAATCAATATATCTTGGAAAATCTAGAAAATTTCCTTTCTTGATTCAGTATTTTTTTAAATCTATTCATTTGAGTTGTTTGAAAAAAACAACAACAACAACAACAAACTGAGCAATGTTTTTGTCATAAAATCAACAAAAGTTACATAATAGAAAATATGAATCGCCTCAAGTAACAAAAAATTCATGCTGATTTATCAGAATTCTATGACCCTTGAATACTGGAAAAAAAGCAAAAAATTTGACAAATATTTTGACCTTCGATACATCAATGCATCAATGCAAAGTGAATAAAACAAGATAAACGAAAAAACAAAACCCAATTAAATGGATCTGATAAAGTTGACAAGTAAAAAATTTTCTTTCAATATGTAAAATAATGCATTATAATGTTTCTATTGGTAAATTAAAATGGAAAAAAAATCTGGAAAAAATTGGATTTCTATTTGTTTGTTTGTTTATCTGTTCAAATGATGATGTTCATCATTGAGAGAATTACATCAGTTTTCATTAGATAATCTGATTGAACATCAATGCAAAAGCAAAAAAAAAACCTTTCAATTTCACCTGAATAAAACAAGATTCAAATTAAAATGATGCATAAATGAAAAAAAAACAGAAGAGTACAAAATTGGCTTCAAATTAATGGCAATAGAATAGAAAAAGCGTGAAAGTGAATATAAAAAGTAAATTAACTAACTAACAAAAACTAAAGAATAAATGAATGAAAAACTAATAATGATTATAACATGTGTGTGTGTGCATGGAAATAAATAATTCAAACTTCTCAAAAACGAACATACACACATACAAATGAAAAATGAGATGTATTTTCTTTTTTTTACCAATGTGTTCCGACACGATGAAATATCAATTTTTCTACATCGAAAGAGATGGTGAAAATCTTTCTCTTCTGTTTTATACAAATTTTTTTACAAGAAGGAAGGAAAAAAAATCTCGTAAAACTGTATGTTAACACTTACCGGCGGGTACAACACTATAAATACATGGCTTATTCTGTATTCCAATACTGTTCTGTGCCAAACATGACAATGTACCATAATCGAGTGAACTTTCTGGTCTATAAGTAGCAATCGATGTTGTTGCATTGACAGTGAATGAAGCCCATTCAACGGATGTTTCACCATTGCCCGATGTATTTAATGTCCAACGAAATGTCAGATCGTTTGATGGTTCAGCATCGACTTCACATCGTATTCGTATCTGTTCATTACGTGAAACGCCATATTGTAATTTTTGTCCCGGTTTACAACTTGGTGCGACTAAAATTAAATATAGAACAAAGAATATAAAATAAAAAACATTGTTGCAACGAGAAAATAAAAATGCCAAAAACATTCGTTTTGAAATAACAATACATACAGTTAACTTTGAGATATAATGGATCGGAAATGGTTTCACCTTGTTCATTGAATGCAACACATTGATAACGTCCACGATGTGATCGATGGACTTTTTGTATCACTAGCGATTGATTAGTCATAATTACAGTCGATCCTAATGACGCGGATGTTGATGATAATGATGGTAATGTTGAATCATCCGGCATCATATTAGGATCACCAGACATTAACGAATGAATTGGACGATCTTCATGTAACCAAACAACTTCTTTGACAGGAGGATTAGCTTTTACACGACATTCCATATATACATCACTTCCTTCACGTATTGAATCGGTTTGAATATTTGTTCCAAAACTGATTCGTAATTGTGGTGCAACTAAATAAATATAGAAAAAGAAAAATAAACATATGCCAATGAAAATCAATGCGAAAAGAAAAAAATTTCATATAAAATATCTTAGTTATTTCTAAATGAATTTTCATTGCCATTTTCAGTGATGAGAGAGAAAAAAAAATTCAATTCTTTATAATAATAAAAATAAACGCAATAAAAAATCGATATCCAATAATGCAATGAATAGACGGATACGTGAATATGAGAAGTTTTTTCCCTCTCCCATGAGAAACTCGACCAAGATGCTTCAAATATCAATCGATCGATTGATTCAGTGAATGAATAAAATGAACGGTTAGTTTTGGATGAATGAATATTTTTGAGGCTTGTTTTTTTGGGACAATGACAAACAAAAACAGCATAAATAACACATATAATGACAAACAAACAAATATAAATAAAGAAAAAAGAAAGGAATAGATCATATCATTCAAAAGCTAGTCAAGTAAAAAATGAATAAAAATTTCAACAAAAGTGTCAATCCATCGAATCAATCAATCTGTATTCGACCTATTTCATATATGATAAATTCTTTTATTAAAATCACATTCAATTTCAGTAATATTCATTGATGTATAAAGTAAATTTTGATCCAATTTTCAATGAAAAAAAACCAAAAAAGCCTAATAATTGGATCAATGATCATAGTTTAATTGAATAAAATTAGCTTCTCAATGTGATTAACCTAAATTACTATGACCTTGAGAATTCATAAGGATAAAATCTTGCTGAAAGCAAAAGAAATATCCGATAATGAATGGCATCGATCTAAATTACTCATATTAGTCTCACGCTCCTTTTACTGATCTATTAATGCTTTTAGACAATTTATAAATTGAAGATGAACAAAACTAGACCAAACAAATAAGAATAGAAAATCAAATCAAACGAATTGGTCAGAAATCATGTATATTAATGTATGTTAACAAAGATAGAAAAAAAAATCAATAAATCGATTGGATCCTGTCACTATCATCACATAACATTGTTGCTTTCAGCATTTTTCCTAACTATTTTTTTCCTGTATCTACAAAATTGCCAAAAAAAAAGAAAGTGGATAAAAATAGGCAAAAAATTCTTATGAACAAATAAGAACAAAATTTTCAAGATGGAATAATGTATTGTACAGATATATTGGTGGTCAACATCACCACCACCTTTTGGTCATCCACATTCGAATTGAACAGAAAAGAATTCGACCATGTAAAGATCAGGATCGAATTATCGCTCAAAATACAATCAGCGCCATCTGCCAATATCATTGGACTAACGTTTTTTTTTGTTTTCAATTTATATTAATAATCGACGTCCGGTGCACACCAATATCCATGAAAGATTGAATAATTTTATTATAAAACATCTATAGTTGATCAAAACAAAATGTCAAATTTTTTCTTTTTTGTTTCCTATTAATAAATATCCAAAATCTAGTAAATGAATTTGAACAATCGCTTAATCAATCAACAACAAAAAAAAATAGTGTTGACCATTCTACCACCATTATCCAGTTTATCAATTTTTAAGCTATTGTTGTTTGTTCAGAATTCATTTCAATCAAATCATATGGCCCAGCTTACGATCAGATTCATGTCATCAGTTCTGTTCCTGTCAACTGATTTGGATTTTTTTTTTTTTGTCAATTCATTCCGGTTTTTCTCAATATCTTTTTTCTTCCCCATTCATGCAACAAAATACTGTCAACCAAAGATGAATTCTATTGGCCTAGTTTTTTTGCTTCAAATGAAAAATTCTCTTTTTTTAGTCCGTTCAGTGTTATATATTTGATATTGGTCTATTGTATTGATGTGGTCAACACTATACAATATTACTTACATTGAACATTAAGTAATCGTTCATCTTTTAATGCCGTATGTGGCATAGGCAGATTGTCAGCCCGACATGTCAATAATTTTCCATTATCATCGACACTTGGTACGAATACAATAGTTGATACGGTTGCATTACCATCTTCATTGACGCTATCACGAACATTTGAACTAAGACGTTCATTGCCTAACCACCATGATATCTGTGCGGCTGGTCTAGATCCGGTACTTTGACATTGAAATTCGGCTTTCGAACCGGCCGGAAGTATAAATGAAAGTCTTGGATCAATCATTATTGTTGATGATGTTATTGAACCAGTATGCGATGATGATGATGATAATTTTGATTTCAAATAAGATTTAGGCAATATTTTCACGTCAATAGGACGAACTAAATTGACAAGAAACAGAAAAAAGAATAAAAACGATAATAGATTAAATCAATTAAAATAGCGATAAGTTATATAGTAAGATTTTGAGTGAATTTCCAGATATTTGAAATCTATTGCTCAATGTTATGAATTTTTTTTTTGTTATAAGAGTTGAAAGGAAATTGATCGACTACAGGAAACAAATGATTGATTTCTGTTCGGGTTTCAGTTACAGTTTCTCTTTTTTTTCACAATTCTCTTTGAAGAATTTGATAGATTGATTTGATATGGATGAAAAGTGGATTCAAGAAAAAAAAATATTTCATTTTCCTAAAATAGCCTGCTCTATTTGTTTTCTTTTAAGAAAACAAATCTTATTCATCCATGTTTATTACAATTCGATGAATCTTTTCTTTCAGAAGCGAACCAAAAAAAAGAATGCTTTTTTTTCTCTTCTCTCATATATAGTCTGTCAAGTTTGTTTGTTTGTTTTTTTTGTTTGTCTGTTTTGTTTTGTTGCAATGAAACTCAATGTAGCGGTAAATCATTGTAATATCCTTTTTTCTATTTTCATTTATGAAAAGATTCGAAATGAAGGGGTAAAAATGAAGAAATTCAAGCGAAAACAAATCGATAATTGTGATGATTTTCTATTTCGACAAGGACTGACTGAGAAAAAAAATGACAGAATAAATGTATTTACTACACTTTATCATTTAAACAATGTTGTTGTTGTTGTTTTTTTTCATCAACTTAAACGAATTTTTTTTTTTTCAATTCCAATATGATGTTACATCACCAGACACATACATATTGTCTCAAGGATATAGAATGTTGATGATGATTGTCATCGAATGTGAATAAACTATAAACTTTCAATGGATCGAAATTTGTTTTGTTTTGTTTTTTTATACATTATTCAATTTTATCATTTGTTCGCAATATATCTGTCGTCTAGATTGACGAGTGTGTAAAATGAATTTAAAATGAAAAAAAAAATAAAACTGATTCAAACTGTCATTATTTTTCTTTTTGTTTTTGTTTTCTTCGGAAAATGTCTTTTATTCTTGAAACAAAACAATAACAGGAAAAAAAAATCGGAACAACAGAATCCGGTAACAAACAATGAATAGAAAAATAACTATGAATCCAAAATAATAAAGAAAATTATAAGTGAATAAATAAATAACGGTTGACGGCTAAAAATTAGTTTCGTTTTTTGTTTTGTTTTGCCATTTTGTTTTATTCATTTAGTTTGTTCATTCGTTCTTTCAATTTGTTCTTAGAATCTTGACGAAGCGAATGAAAAAATAAACAAAAATAATAAGCTGTAAACAGAATGATGAAAAGAATTTAATAATAAAACACCCAAGTTATGTTTTTTTGTTGTTGTTCATTTTTTTCTGCTTGACTGTTATGTTTTCTCTGGATCGGTTCTTTTTCGTATCTTAGAAGGGATTCAATTTTTTTTTTCGTTTTTGTTTTGTAAAAAAATTCATCATCCACATTTTATCTATATCATTGTTATTTAGTTGAAAGTTGTTCTATTTTTGTTTACTCTCATACTTTACAGCTATTCTGGATCAAAAAAGCCTTTAATAAACCAAACAGGATTTCCAAAAAAAAAGTAGAATAATGAACAATGACGACTTGATAAAAAACAAAAACAAAACAAAAAAAGCTACAAACAAACAGGCAAAATGATTCAAATGTTGAATAAATTTGTCGCAAATTAACGATAGTCATTTTTTTCAACTCGATAGTATTCTTTTGTTTTTTTAAATAGAACAAAAAAAAAGATTTCATTTCTTTTCGTCGAAAATAAAGATAAATTCGTGTGAATGAATGAACACAATAATGAAACTTAGAATGTTGAAACAAGTAAGATGTCATGATTGTCGACTTTGTATTACAAAGAATCCGAATATCACTATGTGTTTGTGTGTGTGTGTATAGGTTTGGAATGATATGCAAAAGAGAATCAACTTAATTCAAATGTCGTTTTCGTTTGCTTTGCTGTGGGGAATGTTTTCTGCATAACTCGATGTTGCAATTTTTTTTTTGTTTTTAACTCATTTTGACTATTCTACAAGTCTATAAATATATTATCTTTTTATTTTAGGGTAGCATTACCCAGAACTTTATTTTTTCTCTTGGTTCATTTTCATCCTAAACAATGAAGTGAAGAGAACCAAAATGTAACAAATGAAAAAAAACCAACAAATCATTTTGACAACAACAAGTTAAGATAGATAACTACTGTAACCGATAAAGAATCTTAACAATAAATGTTTAAGATGTGTGTGTTTATAAGTGCAAGTGTTCGCAAAACAAAAACAAAAAATGTTGGACAAAAATAACAAAGTGAAAAGTTTGAAAAAAAAATTTTGTACAAGAAATTTTTTATTGTATAAAATGATGTTTGATGATTTTGAAATGAGAGGATGAGAAGATAGTGAATTTGTTATTGAGTTTATTGTACAATACCACTTACGATTCATGTCAAGTATAACAGTTGCGCTGATTGGTTCAGTAACGTTATTATTCGAAGCACGACAAGTCAAAATCGACATAAAATCGGATCGATTTAAATTTCGTATATTTAATTCATTTCGTACTAGGCCATGTGGACCAATTGTATACGTTGAATCAATGAGACGATTTGCCTGATACCAATTTACAGATGGTGAAGGTTTTCCTGTTGTTTGAAAACAAAAAACAAAAACAAACAAACATAATGAAGATAAATGGACAAACAAAAATGGTAACAATAAAACAATATTGGAATAATGTTGTTCCAATTAACTCAGGCAAACAATAATCACGAACATCAAATAGAAAAAAAATAACGATTCATACCTCCTTCGGCTTCACAAATTAGAATCACATTCGAACCTTCATCATATGGCCCGATTACTCCTTCCAGTTTTTGTCCTTCAACATCCATAATTAGTAATTCTTTTGGAGGCACTATTTGAAAAAAAATTTAAAAAATTCAGTCAAAAAAAATATGAATCTGTAATCACAATGAATAATCACAAATATTACCTGTAACATTAAGCAGTACAATAACATTTTGTGTACGTGATTGACGAAAATCAACACGACAACGATATTCAGCAGCATCCGATGCCATTACCGGTTTTATTCGTAATACTGGTGGCTGTTGTTTCATGTCGAAATAAAGGCGTTTACGAGATTCATCCGATATGGTATGGATGGCTTTCGATAAAGGCACATTACGAGCATCAACACGATATATTGGCACGCCGGTATCGCCACGAAACCATAATACTAATGATACTTCATCTTCGATCCATGTAGTATTACAAGGAATGTCAACTGAACTACCGGATACTGTTGATACTTCGGTTATACCTGTCATTAAGGAATAATGAAAAAAAATATATTCATTTAGTCTTTTCTCTCATAATTTATCTTAATTTAAATTAGTTGAAAAATTTTTTTTTAAAAGAAGGGAAAAAAGATAATACTATTATTTGAATTTTGTTTGTTGAATTTGCAGATCAATTTGAAATAAATTTTGGGTTAAATTGAACAATTTAGAAAAAAATATTTTGAAAATAAATGAATTTTCTGTTGTATGGAATGAAAAACGATTCTGAAAATTCTTTTTTTTCAACATTAAAGCCAGAATTGCTTAATGTTTTCTTTTGTTATTTCTTTTTTCTTCTACACACGAACTCAAACACTCATTATCATTAAAACATGATCGATCATTATGTCAGAACTATACAAAATAAAGAACAAAACAAAAAAAAATAAACAAAAATGTTGAAAATTTTTTCTTTTTTATTTTCAAACAAATAAACAAACATATAGAATCCCCATTTTTTCGAATCATTTGAAAAAAGGCAAAAATATTCATCACATTCGAATGATGAATTTCAAATATAATGCCGATCGTTATACAATAAAAATCTTTCTTTTATATATCATCGATACATTATAATTGAACATCCATAAACAAAACGATGAGAATTTCAATTTTTTATTTCATTTTATTTTTTTGAAAAAAAATACTTTTGTCTTGTGAATGGATTCATGGAAAATAAATTGGTTTACGAACAACATATCAGAGAAAGTGAAGTGAAAACTATCGAAACAATTGACTTGTAGATAAAATGGGTAAGGGGTTCAATTTACTATTTATAACAATAATAACAATGATAAATAAATGTGAATGGAAAATAATTTATTTTATTTCATTTTCTCTGACTAAATTGATATGTCCAAAAAATAAAATCGAATCTATTTTTATTTATATAGAAATGATTAAGAATGAATGATTGGTATCATCTCATTACTGGTACAGCACAAATGAATCAAAATCAATTTATATATTTAGGCATATATGAGAATTTCGTTTTTTAGTGGGTTGGTCAATGGTATTTTTTCACTTTCGTTCAATCCACTTTACCAATATATGCCAAAATGATTGGAAGACATTTGTCATATCATGGACCAATAGACTACTATTATGCCAAACTAACATTTCGAAACAAAAACATTAAATTGAACAGGACCAACAAAAAAAAAGAAACCAGCAAGCAACCAACAAAAAAGAGAAGAAAAATAATAATAAGAATAATAATCAGATACCAAAGCCAATGTGTTTGAAATAAATGGATGAAAGTTAGCCTCTCGTGAGGTAAACTATCAAGGTTTCCCGGGAACCGAGAAAAAAAAATTATAAAAAAAACTTGACCAATTGAAATGTTCAATCAATTTACGCGTCAATAATTCATTTTCAGTAACCAAAATAAATTGCATTTTTTCGTCGTTGTTGTTCTTGATCAGTTTGAAACTCAGTTTTGTCCTAATAATATATGTTTTGGATAAAATTAAAATAAATAGCCTTCGATGTTGTTCCATGTTGCTGGAATAAAAGTATAAGTGTGATACGTAAAAAGTAAATTTTTTCCAAATGTATTCGAATGACAAGAATCGTATTTTGAAAATGAAATATTAAAAAAAAACAGAAAAATTTTCAATTCAGGAAAAAACTGTAAAAATATTATTGATAATTAGGAAAATCTAATACAAATACACTGACACACGATTAATCATCATAGGAAAAAACATGAAATTTTCTTTATTTGTTCAATATGGGATATCCAGCAAAAAAAACAATGATGATAAACAATTGAACTGAATGCTTTTTATGTTAAAATGATAAATAAATGGATTTTTGATTAAAAAAAACAATATTAAAATGACAATGACAATACATAATATGAATGAAATGGAGCGGAAAAAATTCAATTATCATGATCATCATATAAGAATATTTTTCTAAAAATATGTTTTTAGTTCTGGATTGGTTTTTTTTCAATATCATTTCGAAAATCCAGACACAATCGAAAAATAAACAAAAACATTCATATGTCGTTAATTTTCTTAACAATATCTGTTTCTGCCATTGTTATGATCATTTACAAATTATGTATCGATGATGATGATGATGATTGTAATGATGAAGAATATTGTATATCGTAAGCAATATTAATAAGTATCGATAAATACGCGTGTAAATGTTTTGTTTGTTTGTTTCTTATTTCGATATTGTTTCTAAATTTGTTTGTTTTTTTCTTTTGATTTTATCAGTTATAACATCATCATTCAACCAAAAAAAAGTAATAACAATTTGTATTGTTTTGTGTTGCATTGTTTTTTATGGTAGTTGTTGTTGTCAATTCTTTGATAATTGAATAATCATTGAATCGTATCCGAAAAGATTCATTTCCATTATTTTATTTTTGTTTGTTGAACACACAGATACAGAAATAGAAAATTATATGATCATCATCATTAAGAAGATGATGTTTACTGATCGACTTTGATTTCATGTGTTGATTTAATTGTTGTTGTTGTTGTTGTTATAGATATCATGGACAAGCCAACAAGAAAGAGAAATGAGACAATTTTATTTTTTAGTCATAAAAATTAATTTCAAATAAATAATTATACAAAACAGATCGATTTATCTGCGTTTCACATATTCTGGAAATTTGCTTCATCTAATAGGTTATTGAACTGTAAAAGATAACTGAAGAAAAATAATTGGATATCGAGCAAGATTGTTTGGAAAAAAATGTGTGAAAAAATCCATATTTCACTCTCTCTCTCTTTTTCTTTTTAAATACATCTTTTGAATTCTGAGAAATTTGTTATTGAATACAGAAAAAAAAGATTCTAAAATCCAAATTGAATTGGTAGACACACAATAAGAATAGGAGAAAAAAAACATGACTGAATCGATTACAAATCATTTAAATTATTGTGTGGCATATTGATTTTGTTGCAAAAGTTATAAATTTCTGAATAATAATGAAAAATTTTTTGAAACGGAATTGAAATTCAATCTCATGATGAATATTTTTTCTCCTCTATTTTACACTTTAATAAAGATGGGAAAAAAGTGTTACAATTTAATTGGATAAAAAAAAATTCAATCATTGTTGTTGTTACGTTTTGTGAAATGTCAAGTTGACATTAAAATAATGAAGAAAAAGAAGAAAAATTAAAAAATGAATTTTTTCCCAAAAATTAAAAATGAATGAGAAAAAACTATTTTCTAGTTGGCTATGAAGAATACCGATGATTTTCATCAGTAGTAGTTATATTTATAAAATAATTTTTCCTCGATACAAGTACACAATCTCTTGAGACAAGACATTGTTGGTATGAAATGATGAGTGAAAAAAAAAACGAAAAAATTATTTAATTTAAAATGTCGAGGAGCGAAAAAAAGAAACCGGAAAGAACTTTTTATTTTCACTCTTTTTTCTTTTGTTAGTTTTAAAATAGAATCAAGATATACTGAAGAACATCAAATACAAACACGAAAGCAGAAATGTTTGTATATCTGAACTCTTTGTGTTTGCGTGTGTGTACTTATGGTACTTGGATTTTAATTAATGTTTTAAAAAAAGAATGAATGAAAAAACTGAAGTGAAAAGATTATACATCCGAATTGGGATAAAGATCACAGACAAGATTCAAGCAAACAAACAAACAGGAAAAAAATTGAAACGTGGAAAAAAATTGATTATGTTTGTTTTAGAGGATAAAAACCTAGTTTTTTTATTAACAAACAAAAATTTCGATTTTCAATTTTCATCATCAACAACAACAACATTCGTAGTGTAATGAATTTCCATTGGGATCTTATCAACTAACGAGATGAATGTTGACAAGTAAAATGATGATCAAGAATCACATCTAATAGATGATGATGAAAGAGAGATGTATTTTCGATTATAAAATAATTTGAAATACGAATTGAAATTTTGACAACCGAAAAAAAATAAGAATTGTGTCCATCACAATCACAAAAACGAATGAATGTTTGCAGAGAAAGAAATTATCAAGATTTTCTTTTAGAGAGATGTTTCAAGTTGGCCACTTACAACAACAAAAATCGAGTATCATATTTCAATTAAATTTCTTCACTATGTTTGTTCTTTTATTTTATGAAATTTCAATTTCTTTCTTTTTTATTTTTTTCATTCTTCGCTTGTTTCTATTCTCATCATCATCATCATCATATGACACATTCTTTGTCACCGTTAACATTGCTTTGAGATTTTTCATTTTTACTTTAGCTTCTGTGATTTAAAATTGAAACAATTCATAGATATTATCTAATTTTAAAATAAGAATCTAACAAAAAGGCGGACAAACCATGATGACTGTGTGATTGTATTGAAATCAAAAAAAAGAAACACAGGGAAACGACCGGGCAAAATGAATGAATGAATCGTAATGATGATGATGATGATAATAATAATAAACGAAATATATGAATGAATAATGAGAAAAAATTCTTAAAAAAACTTGTGTAAAATACATTTCAAGATGAATTTTTTACATTCAATTCTTTATTTCATTTAAAATTTCAATTTCTTTTCATATATTATTATTATTACCGACATTGCTTCACTATCATTGTGCTGATCTTCCTCTTTGTATTATTCTTGTTTTCAGTAAATTTTTCACAAACGGATATGAATACTAAGCTTCAGGAAAGAGAAAACAAAAATGAAATCGGTGGTTGCAAAGGAATGAAAAATGAATAGAAGAAAAAAAACTATTCAAATTGAAAACGATGAGAGTCTATTGATATCAAAAAAAATTGCATTTGTCCTAATAGTAGTAGTAAGATCAATTTTTTGAACTGAAAAGAAAAATAATTTTCCATTTATTCTATCTGAAATTATCTCAATCTGGTATTAGATGAGAAAAAAAACTGCTCATGAAATTCATACAAACACACACATATTGCAATTAAATTCATCTATCCGAGACCAAAAAAAATATTCGGACCGGGAAGATGTTGGCATTTGTGAAAATGA